ATACATAGTGTACACTGCATCATGCAAAGAAACATGGCCCAACACTGTTCAAATACACACACACTGCTTTTTTGCTGTGAGAAAAATCTCGAGAGAGGAGTTCGTCATTTAATTTTGCAACGGGAAATTCCAGATGTGTCGGCTTTCTTTCTTTTTCAGGACAAGAATCACGCAGGACAGTTGCTCACCAAATTGGAAAGTCATCAATAAGTGACAACTGAAGAAGATACGATGGAGCAATCATGACTACCCAATGATGAAAGCTACCATCCTACAGTACATCACAAAAATTGCAAAGCTTGTATAATGTGAAAAACTATTGGCACCCGTATTTTTTACATTGCATCATCACAAACACAAGATTGAATTTTTACAACCAACCTTCAAGTACTGTATCTTTGAATATTTGCTCATTATATATGCAAGAGTGCAAGACCCAATGAAAATAGAACACAGGCTGCTGATCATGAGTCCAGTAAAAGTCACAAAGAATCTGAATTTGTTTAGCGCAATTCAGCATATCAAGTAATAGAAACGCTTGAATATGCAATAGTATTAGGTTTAATGTTTAGTATGTCCTGTATGGCTGGATGATTTGGATGCTTGTTTCTCTTTTATGACCTCAGATGATCAGTAAAATTTGCAGGAACTCATGTGTCCTTTGGAACCCAAGAGAGAAATTGATCATCTAACTAAATGGGCTGCATTCAAACATACATCATAATCGATATTTTGAACACCATGTCAAAAATATTCAGACTTCCTCCTTCTTGGGCTGGACCAATCAGCAGGAGAAATTCCATATGCGGAGCAACATAGGAAGCCATGAAAAAAATGATAATTCTTGCACTGCACACAATATTCACTCATAAGTTCAGAATATTTAGATCATTGGATTAAGTGATGTCCAGGCAAGATCTAATGTGTTTCTTATACAGTATATCAAGACTTCTTCCAGCACATTGCCGCCATCATGTCTATACTAATAACCTCTTCTGCTTATATTATCTCTGCTGTATTCATCCTAAAAGTAGGCAGTACTGCGCATTAGCGCATATGTGTATGAACTGTAAAATCTTGTTACAAAAATATAAGTCACAGTTTGACAACAAATTTTAGATAGTTCCACAAAATTTATTGATGGTCTTGCTTTTTTGGCTTGAACTTCTGAGTTGAGAGTGTCTGATTAATTGTCGGCATTCATGGATAAAACTTCAACAGACATGTACAGTATTGTACTTTTCATGAGTTAAATCATACTTGAGAAATTTCTCAAGCAGTAAAATGAATACTGTAATTAAATCCTCACAAGCTATACAGCATATTATTCCTTTCTTGGTGCAGGGCTTGGAAATGATTTGAGCATGCCAACTGTTCCATGCGAATCTCAACTGTTTGTTTTTCAGAAAAAAAAAACGTGTCCATTTTTGTCTTTTTCCCCGGACTGGAACACATTCTATTCCGTGGGCTTCTTCAGTTGCTCTAATGAAGAAATACAGCATGCAGGACCTCAACTCCATCGATCTTCCATTCACAGGAAGAGACATGTATAAACCTTCCAGCCTTGTTCCTTCTGTAACAGACGACCATTTTATTCTTCTTGGGTGAAAGAATGTAGAATCCTAGATCAAATTAAGGAAACAACTAGCTCCTATACAACAACTATGGCCAGGGATAGGGGTTGCTGTGCTTCTCCTTCTCTTCTACCCCCGTGTGGGCCCATTCAGAGGACAAAATAAACGTGTACAAAAAACTACCACGGAATAACTGTCCCATGATGGGCCCCACACATTCACAGAGCTGCTTTCTCAGCATTTTTCTCTCATCTATAAATAAACGCCCATTAAAAGATCAGTGGATACCATATACAAGGGTTGGTTCAAAAAAGTTTATAAAACTGTTTTTCTTTTGCTCTTCCGTCCTTCATCAATGTACAATAAATTTCTGACCCAATACCCAGAAACAGATGAAAATAATAAAAAGATATCACAGTGAATGCCCTCCTCTGAAATGCACTAAAGTGAAGTTTGATCAAGAGCACCTGCTGTGCTTGCATGCCCTTTGAAATTAAGGGTTACCTAGTCTGAGTACAATGGAGTGTTTCTCAAGAATGAGAAATCATCTTGGCAATGAAGCTTTGGGCCATGCAACTTTTTGAAGATGGAAAAACAAATTCAACAACAGAAATTTCCACATGAGCAATGCCTAATGTGAAGGATGTCCCAGAATTCCAACCATTCAATGAGCAAGACGTTGCTTGTGTAGGGGCCCTAATCAAATTTTTTGGATCCACCAAGCACATTTACTTCTGCAGCAAATTTTTTTAGCGAGGATCCTCCATGCAGCCATGAGATCCATCTCAAGGATTGCAGCAATTCTTTTTGTTTGGCAAGGATCCTTTTTTATTAGGGCTCCCACATAGGCAACACCTTGCACACTGCTGCTGGATGGTTGAAATTCTGGGACGTCCTTCACATTGAGAATTCCTCATATCAAAATGTTTGTTCTGGATTTATTTTCCCCATCTGTAAGAAAGTTGCATGACCCAAAGCTTCATCACCAAGATGCTTTCTCATTCTCAAGAAAAACTTCATTGCACTCAGGCAATGAAACCCTAAAAGGTGTAGAGCATGCAAGTACACAACTTCTCTTGATCAAACTTCACTTTAGCTGTGGAGGACATTCACTGCACAAGGTATTTTTCTTCTTGTTTCCATCTGTAGCTGGGTAGTGGGTCAAAAATGTATTGGACACTGGTGAAGGATTCAAGAGTAGAAGGAAGAAATTGACATCCACCTCATGTGATGGCATGTGACTGTTGATAAACTTTTATGAACCAACTCTTGCACATGTATGCTGCACTATAGTGAAGAATATCAGATCTCCTTTCTTTTGAACACCAAAAGAGCTTTCTAATTTTACTTGGAAGAGAAAATGCTACAAAAACTGTAGATCATCATCTGCTGCTTTTCAGAATAACATTACTGAGTGGTTTTTTGCAGAGGAAATGTATAGCTCAGTGAATGCAAGACCAATCACTGAAATTATATCTATTACAGGAAACCATCTTTTCAGAGCTCTTATTTTTCAATTCACTTCATACAGAAAACCTCCATGTGTAGTTCATGAAGAGATCAAGGACAACTGCAACCCTGCTTGTTATCCTAGAGAGCCAAGTCATATTTCAGGAAGAATGCTGCTGATCAATGCATCTAGATGTTGCTCCTTATTCAGCCTCTGTTTGGCAGACACAATTCAATGGGGGCACCCATAAAATCAAGCCCCCTATAAATTCTGATGCCCCGCCCCACTGTGACACCAGCCTGCCCACTGGACTAACCAACAAGAGGCTAGAGGGAGCTGCAGGTAAATGGTCTCAGAGGGCAGCTCTGATCAATCTGCTGCACCTTGAGCTAGCCTTACACCAATGAAAAGGGCATTGGCTGTAATCCTAACCATTGGGAAAATGGCAACGAAATTGCTTTGACAGTGGCATTGCCTTAACATCTAGCTGCCAAACACCCACATTATTTACTGGGTAGGGATGGGGTTCCTCATGAATCAGGTACTTTTCTTTTCAACCTGTTCACAGCATAGCGTACAGGTAATATAAAATTGATCTTGGTCTTCGTACAACATGATTAGTGCTGGTCAATGCCAGGAAATGATGTGTGCTTGGACAAGTGCACTTAATTCACATTCACAAATAACGTACTGTTAAAATTTGGCAGGATACCAATAACTGTGCAGTGCGTGTGCTTCTGACAGTTTAGGATGTTGGCAATTACAGCAATACAGAGATAGATGCAATGGAAAGGTTATTTTCCAGAGGTAACCTCTGCTGGATGTAAAGAGTACCAGCAGTACGTCTGGAATTGAAAATCTGCTACTGGGGTAAAACGTAGAAAAGGCAATTCAAATTTAAAAATTATAAATCCCAGCAAAATAGTGCAAGCTAATTTAAAACGAGGACTAGAACGATCACTTACCGAATGCTGTAAGCATAAGTTTGCTTCACTTTGACGTTGTCCCGCTGATCGGTGTCCCATTATTTGATTCAGGGCGTCAGCCGTAACCCGTAAGTGACTCATGAATTACAGTGCTGTACTTCCATCTTCTCCCAATAATGCAATCACGGCAAAGAAAACGACTGACATGCAAGGAATACTCATTGGCTCATCATGATAAAGAAACACTAAGTTGAGTATTTTCAGCGAAACAACTCTCGAACTAGGCAAATATGTTAGAAGCACTGTATTGTTCCTGGCTCACACAAGAAGAAAATTCGAGTTATACTTCCGTCTTGTAATTTTTTGGGGCACTGGTCTAATACCTTGAACTGGGCATTGGTGCGTCTGTGACTGACCACATTCACTGACACAATTCAACGCATTCAAAAGCTTTTCGGATCTCTTCATAATATTGTACAGTCGTAAGGAGTAATTTAAGCACACTCTGCATCATTTCTGTCGCGGGTCATGAAGACAACGCCAAAAGAGAAAAGGCTATAATATTTGAAGATATGAATTGTAAATACGATAGGTCGTTTGAAGACTCGAGCGTCAAGGTAAGTTTTGTTTCACGATTAACAAACGCAACTGGAACACACAATCTCTTTCGGACAGGTAACACATTACTCAACGATGCCGATCGTCAGGAGCTACGGAGCAGAAGTGATGTCTGTTTCCACAGGGTTTCGGGTAGCTGCAAATCTCTTGAACCGGTTTATTACCTGTTCTTGGGCGTAGGTTTGAAGGTCGTTCATTCGGGTCAGGTATTCGGATGTTCATTTATTGGTGTATTCGCAGGAGTTCGAGTTGGAGTTCGGTTTGACGACATGGGCGACATCTGATCGGCCCGCAATAATTTACTCATTCTTCGGAAATTTCCATTACGCCTTCGTTTTCGGCAATCCCAATGTCAAGAGTCGACGCAATACAGAATACAACTTCCTAAATCATGAGAATATTGTGAGGTCAAAGTATAAAACATGACATCGATGTTCTTCCAAAACCATTGGTACATTTTCCTTTGTTTCATTCCCATCAAGTCCAAACTCAATTCTCGTTTTTCCCGGAATTAGCCGCACGGGGATTCATTTTTCTACACACGGCACAACGTAAACCATCACTCTAAAAAAAAATACTAGCGACTTCTTCATTCAGGCTTCGATAAACGAAAAAAACCTTGGTTAAACAATCCATCCGCCACAAAGTAAAACTAAGTCACGCAGGATACAGCTCATGGTGTGGCATTTTAGAAAAACATCTATCACATCACTTGTGTCGAGGAAACGGAAAGAAGAAACAGAATCCTGACCTATGCTTTTTTTGGTTCACAAACATATTCCCAATCAAAACTTGATACTTTTCCGAATTCCTCGCAATTTGCACTTTGGAATACACCCTTCTTTCATCTCGGTGAATCCGTTTTAGGCACTTCTGTTTGAGAAAGAGAGGGAGAAAATAAACCCAGGCTTCCCCACAGAACATGAGACTTTCCGCGGAATGAACATGAACTGTTCGACGAATTCTTCAGGAAAAAAAAAAAAACTCTTCCTCATGAATAAACCGGAGCATTAGAAAGTTTAATCCACCTCAGACTGTGCTCATGAAAAATTTAAACTCGCAATACAGACTACATTAAATTACTTACCAGCAGAGTTTTGAGAATAACATCGACTTCAACAATAGAGGGATACTGGAGCATTCGGATTTAGATTAAAATCAACAAGCAAACACAACAACTTTAACAACTTTATAATATTCAATGGGGAGAAAACATCGCAGAAGACAAATTTTGAAAATTCACAAGGAACAGACAATCAGAAAAATCTAGAATATTGTGCATCAAGTCACACTCCAACCACAGAATTCCAAAAAATCATGAAGTAATAGATAAGTCCCAGCTCAAGAAACAAAATCTTAACACAGTAAAAGAAAAAACTTTGTTGTTTAATTGGTTTAATGTTATAGTAACCCTATTCTCCTGCAGGCTACAAAGAGAAGTTTAATGGCGTTCAGAGTTCGAATTTTACACAAGATGGCCAAGAAGGAGGCATATTTTTTGAGTACTGTATAAGGATGTTGTAGTTCATCTTTCCCACTTTCATTTGAAACAATAGGATATGCACAGTGAGTGGCAACATTACATTAATTTTTGCCTCAACAAGAAAACAATGCTTTCCCATTTGCATCCGATAAGTATATAATAAAAAAGTTTTTCAGCGAACAGCGACAATGTAGAGTATTACATCATCTTTGAAGATTCTTTGTTGTTCAGTGCAAGTCCAGAGAACAATAACCACCATGGATTTGTGACAATCTAAAACGCTCCTCCTCAATGTTTCCACGCGAACAATGATATCTAATCCATGATCCACTTGTTTCCCTCTCAAACGAAATCCATTCGGAACAACAATGACGATTATTCTAGAAAATACCAAGGACACTCTTGCACACTAGTTCTTTGTTTCATTGAATAAAAATGATTTCCACGTGTTGCTCACTTCACGTTTAGTACAGTAATTAAATTTCCTCGGAACAACTTTCTGTCCAGGAAGAAACATTTGTTTTCATTTTGTAACGATATACTGTAACGTAAAAAGAAAGGCTCTTTCTTCACTACAAAGCTCAGCAGGGCAAGTGTCACTCAAATCACCTACCACACAGAAGAAATCTGCCCAGACTGAACTAACCGATCCTAGCAGAAATTTTGATCCGAGTGAACATGGTAAAATTCTGGTAAGAAACCTGCGCCATAACAAGTAAGTTCACGAAATCAGGAAGAAACATTGGACATTGCTGCGAAAAAAATCAAACGAAGGATTTGAATCTGATTTTAGTTATTCCTGAAGGAGAAGCCCAGGGATCGTCCCTCTTACTCGTTTCTTTCTCCTCCTGTTCCCGTCTCCATCTCTAAAAATCTCTCTTCTCTTGGTGTTTCCCACTGTTGTTGGTGCTCTCTTCATTCAAACACTGCAGACACCGTTGGTGAGTCGATACACGGCCATTTCCGAGATGCCACGATAGTGGACAAAGGCCGCAGCGATGACGAGCACATGGAACAATTGATGACTGTGAAACCACACGTCGCACTTGCCCGGGAAGAAACGCTCGGGTACGCGCCAAGCATACAAGAGGGCGCCCGAGATGTACAGAGCCCCCATGAGGACCAAAGAGCCCATTGCTGTTTCCGTAGCTGCCTTGACCCAGCCTTCAGTACAGAGGTAGTGCAAAGCAGGGATCACTCCGGAAAGACCGAAGCCAATGAACAAGCCGGCACGTAGCGGACGATACGCTGGCTCCCCAAACTTGTCCCAGAGCGAAACTGTGATGGCGCACAGCCCCAACACCAGTGTCACCGTCAAATAGATCACCTGAGGGTACGACAAGAGAATAAATGAGCATTCTTCAGATAAAGGGTTTGATGTAGTACAAAATGCTTCATACAACGAATCATGAAAAACCTGACTTCTCGAGAAATGCGACTACATAAATCATGATCGTGAGTATTTTTTTTACTTAATTTTTGACGGTAATTTCTGCATCCCCGATTGTAATTAAAAAATAATTCCGATAATTTTAATTTGTGATAGCCTAGGCCTTACATTCCTTCTTTAAATGAGTTGACAGGATGCTGAGCTTGGAGTCAAGGGTTCATTTACCTAATTAGTCTTTTACTTACTTTCAAAACAGATCAATTTATATTTTCATTGCTTTTATCTTTCCTGAGTTGATAACATGATAGCCAAAAGGCCTCCAGAAAATTCAAGGTTTGGAGATTCGAGGGGAATGCCTTTGATTAAGATACATTTTCAAGGCACTCTTTCCAAGGGAATTCAGAGAGGGACTCTAAAAATTCAACATAGGGAATTATTCGCATTCGACTTACGGAGGTTCAACTGTGATCTACTTCCCGTCCTCTATTTCCACGAAAAAAGAAAAGAACTGTACAGTTGCTGGAGAAGGTAATTCAACCTCAATTTGTGACCAGCCACGCGACAAGAACGGGTTCTGCGGTTAGCAAGGCAGAGACACAGAAAAAGCATTCGAAATAGCGCTGAACTGTACACAAAAAAAAAGAAAAGAAAATTGGACACGTCTTCTGTGGAGTTTAAAAAGCAGGTTCTTCCCGAGTTCCAGCTCGTTTGTCGTCATAACCTCGATTACCGTCTTCCTTTTCTTCCCTTTGTAATAACTTCGCATATGGTCTCCTTTCAACTTGCCGCAAATCTCGAGTAAAGCACATTTCACAAAATGCGGGAAGTTTTTTTCCACCCGTGGTATTCGGTTATCTGGTTAAGTGGTGAAGTACTGTAGCTTGTAATTTCTCGAGAAAAATAACCATTACTCTTTTGAACGCTTTGAAGGCCATCGATTATTCAATACACATGGGAGGGTTGTCCCAGTTGGAGGCGACCTTCGATAATTTTAGTGTAGATGTGATTGCAAAAAAAAAAAAAAACAGAACAAAATACATCCCATGATTCTCCAAGGTTCTGGGATTACCTTCATGTAGAAAAGGTAATACATGTACATAAAACAGACAAAAAAATTCGATTTTTTCAACTGGCTTGACAATTTTGGTACCATGTAATGAGCGGAGAACTCTGGAAGTTGTCATTTATCCTCAAGTACGGTAGTAAATTGTAAAAATACCATTAAAATCTTGAAATCTCAGAACATAGTGGGCTATAGCATGATTTTTTTTTCAAATATTATCACACCTCCTCTAAAAATATTAAGGGTCGCGTCCATCTAGGACAACTTGTATATTTGCACAGCATTGCGGTCTGTACTTCCTTTCTAATAAAAAAAATTTGAAAAAGGTGTTCCTCTTTCATCAAATCACCTTTGGTAGGAATTCGCAGTAGAACCCATAATAGACCCAAGGCACGAAGGAGCCCATGATGAGGAAGGCAATTCCGCAATAGTCCAGCTTGGAGAAGAGCTTGCCGACAAATTCCGAGTGGCAGGACACCGTGTGGAATGCAAAGGACATGCCCAGGCACAAGATGGCGCCTGCAAAAAAGGCCGCAAACACCAGCTTCTCTTGCATGTCCACTTCAATGCTTGGCCGCGTCAGGAAATAGGTTGCGACGCCAATGAACGCCAAACATCCCAGCAAATGGGTCCAAATGTTCCCGGTCTCCGTGTGCACTCTGTAGACGAAAGTAAGATGAGAATAAATACCAGTCACCGAAATCAAAATACAAAAAATTGAAAAAGCTAATCGCGAGCGGCATTTTGTTAATCTGTTATGAACCCCAGAGTCCGCTTTCGATTCGTGATCAATTCTTTTTTGAATCGGCAGAGATTTTGTGCAGCCCTTCCAATCTCTGATTCCGTGGTTCAACCAGCTAATCAGCGCCGCCCATCTTGCACCTTTTTAAGGCAGCAATTAATCTCTCATAAATGACTGATTCGCGCAAAAAATCTTTTAAAAGATTACACATTGCGTCACTAATTTATACGAGGTAAATTAGTGGCGCTAATTTACCTCGCATTTTATGCGCTGGAATCCGCATCATCTTCAAAAAATTTTGAAAAAGCGTGATGATGCAAAAAATGCTTGTTCATTCGTCTTGTTTGACTGCCCGAGTCGTTCGAGAATCGAAAGAAAGATCAGTGGTTCTGGAATCTCATTTTTGTAGTTCACTTCACACGGATCATGCGCGGAGACATTTATTTGAAATGACACGATGCCCCAAGGTTGACGGTATTTCAATGAAATAGAAAATAAGATTATACAAGCTCAATGCCAAGCTGTCCTTCAGGTAATTCTGAGAATGGTTCAGGCGCTGCGACAAGGTCAGAAAAAGATAATCGCACCCCTGATTACGATCTTTATAAATGAACGCTCTCGAAAAAGGATGCCAGTTCAAAAGGATTCATCAAAACATTTAATTTAATTTTCATCAGTTGAGAACAGTTATGACACGTGCTCAGAAAGATTCGAAAGGATTTCATTCAACTTGACACTCAAACTGACCTGGCATTTTTCACAGGGAGTCTCTTGAAAAACGTCATGAGAATGAGTCACTTTTTTCATTTCTAGCGTCGGCTTATTTATTTCTTCAACTCTATCTCTTCACATCAAAGTAAGGCACATCAAACAAATGGGGATGTATTCCTGCATTATTCTCAAAACAATACCAGGGACCAGAAAAAAAATAGTTGCAAGAGAGAAATTGGAGAAGTTTGTTGCAGAGAACCCCTATAACATGGGGAGAGAACCCTGAGAGAATGGAAAAAAATTGTTAAACAGAGAATATTGCTGTAGACTAGATTGTTGTATAGAGCAGTGTTCCCCAACCTGTGGTCTGCGGACCAGCGCTGGTCGGCGAAAGTTTTTTGCTGGTCTGTAGGAAATTTTCTTTTTCATAGTAAATTTTATCAAAAGCAGCCATGAAGTCAGCTATATCTTCATCTGCAGTTTTTGTACAACAATGGTAGTTGAAATTATTCGACGAAAAATAAGAACTCGATTTTCTCTTATTAACGTTTCAGACAAATTTTCACCTGTTGAAATAAATTATTTAAATCTTTTTATTCCCAGAAACTTTTCTTCGAGACCATCTTCCTAATTTTTTGAAGACATTAAACTAGAGCTGCTTCATTCGTTCTTAACTCAAGTTTCTCAAAAAAGCAGAAACCTTTTTAAATACCTGCCATGAAGTCTTTAAAACAAAACTTTTTTAAATCTGTAAACGTTTTTATACAAAAAATTTAATATTATCATTATTATTATTGTATATTTCTTTGTTTCTGATGGTCTGCAGAAAATTGCAGCGAAATTTTCCAGGCCGGACATTTTTTATGGAAATTTTCCAGTTCACAGGCCCAAAAAGGTTGCGAAACACTGCTGTTAAGTCCATTTTTTATGACGAATATATCTTTCTACCTGATGCCCCGGGGAGTTCGTTGTAACAACATCTTACTACAATAAGACAAAAAAAAGTAAAACGCAAAAAACTCGTGTACCGAAATATGGACTTGAAACAGGCCGAGAAGGATGGGAGCGGTGGACGGTGCCAGCGATGAAGGAACTCGTTGTCTTGCATCCACGCCGGCAGGTGGCTAAAGTGCACGCACTCCCACACCTTCCGCACAAACTCCTCGGCACTCTCGACAGCGTGATGCGCCGCATTCGCCACGGCGGCAAAGTCCACATCATCGCACACGTGCTGCGCCCGAGACTCGATGTCGTGCAAACAACTCCGCAACCGACTTC